GGTTCGGATACATTAAGAAATTAGTGTATATACTTTTACCGTGCTCTGCGTATAGTATCCCAAAAGTTGAGGGAAGGTGATGGTTCCAATGACGAATGAACAAACAGCAGGAAAAATGAACCGACTAAGGCAAGAAAAGTTAATGAAGCAAATGAAAGAGTGTGTGTGTACCAAAATAGGCGTTTTCTTACTTGTATGAGGTAGCTTTCTCCAAGAATGGGTTCGTCAGGATAAACTTTAGTATGCGGCCTTGTATGAAGACGTACAACGCTCCAAGAAGTCCACAAGCGACTCTGAAGTACACACAACTTTTGGAGTTGAAAAACAAGCGTAGGCTTGTACTGTAAACTGCACGTTTACTGCTCGAATAACATCATCAAATAATCATGCATTTAGCTCAAAATGCATATTTAAAGCAATGCTATTAAAATCTTAAAAATACAGAATAATTAAAACAGTGAACAGTACTGCAGTATTCGATTTGCTGCACCATAGTCGCATAAGGCGCAAAGACCCAGAAAGACTTTACGATTAAAATTATTGCCAGAAATTCAGGATCATTGGTTCAAACCGGAAACTTAACGGCTACGTAGAACGTCCAGGGTTTGCGTATCGGCGAATGTCCCGGAACAATAACAGAATGCTGAGAATTTTGCTGAATGAAGCTGAACTTCTTAATCTTTTTCTGACCAGTTACATGTATTGCATTTGGTCACGCAGCAGTGGAATATGAGCGGCAGATCATCGAACTTTCATGAAGTTTCTCAGGATTTTGATACTTAGCAGCTAATGCGCCTCATTTTTATAACCTCATCCTACAACGTTTCATGTAACATCTTATTGTTCTAATTTCTTGCTCATTTCGCAGCTTATTCATACATCTAAGGGTTTTGATGCTTTACTGTTCCTGTAAATGAATACAACGGCATTTGACCATGCCTTCAGCAAGGAACCGAACTAATCAAGTCGAAACATTTATTATGATAGTGCTACTTTTGCAGAATTACTAAATTAGACTAAATTTTATCCTAACCTAAAACAAGTACAATCTTATTTTCTGGTCGTCTAACCTTCCATTGTGGACTTGTCGTTTTGCATTTAAACTTACTTTGGTGAGCATACAATGAGGATGAGTCAGTTAGTTCGACAGATGATATTCTTGTGAAAACCGCAGGTTTGAATTTTTGCCTGAGCTTTCGGAATACGGTCGTTGACAGAAGGACAAAAAGCAAAGCGTTTGTTCAACATCACTCATTTTGTAATAAAAACAAATCATGGATGATTTATCACAAGAGGCGATAGCGTGGTGGATGAAGGCCCGTTTCGAATATCCGAAGTGCCAGATCGAATGTCAGAAAGATTTCGTCTAACCCTTAATTTTCACGAGCAATGAACACACCTCATGTTGTCTCAGTGCAACCAGCCAAAATCCAGTACTGAGTCGTGTAGTTGCCAACAACAGGGCTAACATTGCATTTCGGTATCCTCATACAATAATGGGTCAGAAGTAAGACCATTTTGTCTGATGCGAGCGCCCCTTCAGCTGCAACTCGTCTTCGCCCTCCTGAGAGCTGAGTGCCAAGCGCATGCATGGTGTACATCTCTCCTTTCGACACACAGGACATACATGAATTTCTGTGATTACATTACTTTCAACCGTTGGCATGACTGGGGACTAGAGAAAACTCAAAGCAGAGTTGTGTGATGGGCGCCTCCTGTTTGAGGGACATTTTTTAGCTAACTAGAGGGGCAACAACCACGAGGATACCTTGGTAGGTGCTCAAGATATCAGGAAAAATGCTCACAGGAACATGTGCATTTTCAAAGTCACGTGAGACTAGGCAAAGGGCCAAATCCAAGACAAGATGAATGGAATATCTGAATACTTAGTGTTGTTTTGCTCTTCAGCGATTAGTTCTGAGATCTTCCTCTCTTAGCCGAGTATCAAGATTATCGGAAAAACCGTATCTGCAGCAGAAGTAGAAAGAAATAGCAAGTGATGAAAATGGATGGATTATGTTCAAATTTTCCGAAACAGTATAAAATATATTGATTCATCATTGCAATCAATCTTCGTACCGCATTGTGTACCCGGCCTTTGCGAAATGTAAATTTTTCAAATACAGCTGTAACGACGACAGTAACAAGTACACGAAAGAGTACTCTCAAATGTCCTACCCTAAAATTGCGTATGCAGGCAGTTCCTTCACTTGGTATGACTCTTTGTCGGGGAAATGGGTCGCACTGAACGCCTGAACTTCATCTAAAAATAAACGTTTCATCTACAACAATGCAGTAATCATTAGTTATTAAGATTCTTATGTCTTATGGTACCCAAGAAGAAGCGACAGCAAGAAGAAAGTAGCAAAAGGATGTGTGCATAGTGCAGCATAGTGTAGGTCATTGTCAGAAGAGTACCGAAATTGTAAAACTATTTAGTAAAAGAGAGGTGAAAGTCAAGCTCTGGAGTCATGAAGTTGAACCTTATATGCTATGCCATTTTGCATCTTGGAATACATACTCATCGTCATTACTTTGCAATACTCTTAAATAAACACTATTAATCACAAGTAATCAAAAATCAAATAACAAAATGCAATTAGCCCGATTCACTTACTTTTTCCGACGAACACCATGCCTAACAAACCGAATGATATTGCTGAAAACCCGGCACTAAAGAAACCTCTCCAGTAGTCCCGAACAGCGAAATGAACCGTCGTTACTTCGATGCTGAAAAGCACGCCTGAAATGAAAAACATACTGAGTGACGTCACATAAAATTTTTTAACGTTTCACTATTGTGAAAAAGGTCTGAGGTCGCCTCTGAACTACTTCGCAGAAGCCAGATTCGAATTCGCTTAAGGGACAACCTTTGTCTTAACCTCGAATTTCCTTCAGCAAGGAATTAATCCCATCTTGCTTCGGCACCACCAGTCAAGGAACAGGTATGAGGTCGCTGACTTACGAATGAGAGGAGCTAGATGGTAGTCTGGTTCGGTCATTCGCGAATGAACGAGAGGCACAGCCATGCTGTTCGATGCGACCGTCTCTTTTGGCTACAACTTGCCTTGATCCGCCTGATAGATGACAGATGACTACCCAGTGTGATAATCAGCACAGGGTGCAATCACGGTTTTGATAGCAGGCATAGTCTGACATGACAGGACAAAAGCTAAAAAATTAGCAATCACCTGTCCAGAAAATAAAAGATCAATGGTCGAGAGAAAAATGCAATTATTGTGGCAAACCTCGTGCCAAACAAATATGACATACAAAACTTAATCCTGGAAGATTTCATAATTTAAGAGTACCATTGGAGCGGTTCAGCTAATGCAATATCTTTGCAGCTTCAGCTTTTGAACAACTTTCATGCTTATACGCTAAAGGCATCTGAGGAACGACTTACAAGAGCGATTCTCTTCAAAATTTGCATGACACGTGGCAAAGGGGCAGACAGAAGGA